TGAAAGGCAAATTTATCTGTTTAAATAAGTTCGAAGATACGATTCGGATTGCAGCATACCATTTCTACGATTCGTAGCAAAATCCGAATACCAAAGTGTTGCAGAATAGGGGCGTAAAACTAATGAAGTATTTATTCGTAAATTTAATTTTAAATATGATCGCGATATTTCATCTTTTAAAATTGATGTAGCTGCCGAAGATTTTGATTCACTTCTAAATAATTCATTTTGGCCGACCGGGGCGTTTGTTCGCGAGTTTGAGTATAAAACTTATAAAAGTAATAACAACGTAGCTAAAATTTCTTATCTTAGTTCTCATTCAAAAAACTAAAGCACTGGTTATACTTGCATTGTGCTGCAGCGTATAACATGAGTAATGCCACATATCGAATCTGTTTAACGAGCTTTGCATACAAGCGATTATCCTACGCAGCGCATGACAGGGCATGGCAGCTAAGTGTGTAGAATTTTGATTTTTCGCTATGTGACATTTTCAAAGAGATATGCCACTCTCATTGCTCTGATTAGTCTGTTCCAGTACACATCACATTTACAGGAATTACCGAGAAGTCGGTCTTGTACATACATTGGGGCATATTTATATTCGAAACAAAGTCAATTATAAAGTTAGTTGCCGCCATTTCATTGAAAATTATGACAAAAAGCAGCAACTAACTTTAGTGTCAACTTAAGCTATGAATAAGCATTCTTCAGTTATGTTTTCCTAACTAAATGCTGGAGTACTGGAACAGACTAACTGATTACACTGAACAGCTGATTCTGGGAAATTATGCGCTCTATGCCGAGTATAATTACACCACTGCTTAACATGCGCTGCTTCTCTATGCCCTGCACTTACAATGTAAGTATAGCCAGCGCTTAATTCGCAAGTCTAATTTAAGTATTTACTATCAAAACGTTAGAGGTTTGAATACCAAATAAACTGACTTATATTTAAAAGGTTTTGACTGCAATTATAATATTATTTCCTTGACCGAAATCTGGCTCAAACCTCATATTTTTAATTCCAAAATTCTTCCAATTGAATATCAAATATACAGGAGCGACCACGAGGGTAGAATCGGCGGTGGTGTTCCTTTTGCGGTGCATTCATCGATACCATCCGAGGATGTTAGTGTTCCTGTCATTGAATATACCGAATTTAAATGTATACGTGTACAGGCCGGGAAGTCATATTTATTTAACTCTTTGTTACATCCCTCCTAATTCTGCCGTAGCAGTATATATGCAGCTAGTTTCTTTACTTGAGACCGTAAATGCAATGCTTACGGCATCCAATTCTATGATTTTTTTTGGCGATTTAAGGCCCGTCCACATAAAACTTTGGCGTTGCGTTGGCGTTAGCGTCGCTTCAACAGCTGACTATGAATACATGAATTCAAATGCAGCCGTCCACATAGCCAAAATTCGGCAACGCTCACGCCAACACAAAGCAAAAAGATGGCCAACTCTCATCTTTTCGCGTGCGCCGCTCGTCAACTGTTGCAAATAAATAAAATTACGTGAAATATTTTTCCTTTTTAATCAAGTGCAGGCAAGAAATATCGTTTTTAATGCAATTATTGATATGAAATATTAATTTATCTGTCGTTGGTATGTTAATTTAGTGGCCCAAGCATTGACACCGATGTTGTACCAGTTTCATCTAGAGATAGTTACAATGTATTTCCGGAGGAAATGGCTGAACTTTGCCTCGAACAAATAAATATATGTCCAAATAAGTTTGGAAAGGTCTTGGATCTCGTTTACGTTGATGATGTTCCGAAGTCCTCTATTAATCGGTGTGATTCCTTAGTTTTGCCAGAGGATGCATACCATCCCGCTTTTGAGCTAAGCTACGAAATCTACTAGATATGTTTTTGCGAAAGCTAATTTCAGAAAAATTAACAAAGAACTTTCAAAGTTATCTTGGCTAACATATAGAGATTACGAGACGAGTGTAGCGTTGAACACTTTAATGATACTGTTTTTAATTTGTTTCGAAAGTATGTACCAAAACGTAATATTGTTCACGAAGAACCAACACAATTATGGTTCACTTAAGAGCTTAAAAAATTTAAAAACAAAAAGTCACAGTCTTTTAAACTGTATAAAAGAACGGGCTTACACAGTTTTGTGGTATAGCTACTTTGCATTAAATAAGAAATGTTGTAAGTCATATTTATGAAAATTAAAAAGAATTTAATTATGAGTTGATGGTAAATTCCGGTTAATTCAACTTTTTGGATTCTAGGCTAATTGACAAATAAATGACGAAGATATGCTGGTGTCATTTGACGTGGTCTAACTGTTTACCAACATTCCGATACCTCTAGCCATCAAAATAATCACTGCTAAGTGGAACAAAATTCAGCAAAATACTAGCATATGTAAAAACAAGTTCCTTAACCTCCTGAAATTCTGTCTAAAAATCAATAACTATTTTTTGTGTGACAAAAACTTGTACGTACAAACGTTTGGCCAATGGGAAACCCCCTCTCACCAACCATTGCTGACATAAAAATGGATGACCTTCTGGACAAAACCATTTTAGAACTTAAGGAAAACTTCGACATTGACATTAAATTTTTAGTTAAATACGTAGATGATACTTTTGCAATAGTGAGGCGAAACGATGTGGATATTATATTAAATACACTCAACAAGTACCACCATAAGCTGCAGTTCAATGTAGAAAACGAAACCAACCTTCGCATACCGTTTTTAGACGTAATAGTCTACAAGAAAAATGGCGAATTACATAATACTCGACTGGTACTCAAAACCTACATCCTCGGGACTATTGATCAATTACCTATCCACGCAACCATCTAAATATAAAATCAAGACAGCCATAAACCTGACCCATAAAATCTTGACAATAAGCCATCAACAATTTCAAGAACAAAATATTAAGAAAATAAACCATATACTCAAGAGCAATAATTCCCCGGCGCACATAATAAAATGCCTAATCGAACAGAAAACCAATGAAATCAACAACAAGCACAAAAGTAAATCAACCACAACAAGTAAGAAAGTCTAAGCTCGGGCGGAGCCGAACATTAAATACCCGGCGAAAGTAATAAATATATGTTTTTCACCTTTCCGAAAGCTACCGCTACATGGTAAGCCGGGGTGTATCAATTTTGAGTAAATTAGCGTCCTTAAATTTCGAAATATTGAAGTTTCAAGCATTTCTGAAATTGACCGTTATATGAAAAGCGGCCTCAATTTTAGTCCGATTTCAATAATTTTCAACGTTTTTCTTTTATGTGGCAAGCACAATAACCATACCGAGTTTGGTACAAATTGGTAGAACGGTTACCGAGATACATATATGTGATCATAAGTGGGTGGTGCCACGCCCATTTTACAAAATTTTATCATAAACGTATTTCTTGGTAAAGAATTGTTGCAAGCGTCAATTTTGAATAAATTAGTTCTAATATTTACTGATTTATTGAAGATTTCGTACTACCCTTATATGGAATGTGGGCGTGGTTATTGTCCGATGTTAAAAATTTTCGGCCATTTGGTATGCTCTATAAAGACCAACAACTGTGCCAAGTTTGAAGGAAATCGGTGCAGCGATTGCCAAGATAAACACATGTAACCATAAATGGGCGTGGCTACTCCCATTTTTCAAAAATTTATAATATTCTTATTTTTCGTCTAAAAATTATTGTAAATATCAATTTTGAGTGAATAATCTTCAGTAGTTACTAAAATATCGCAGTTTTCGTATTTCTGAAAATTACCGTTATATGGGAGGTAGGCGTGTTTATTGTCCGATTTTGCCAATACCATCCGTCCTACGCCCGAAAGAAATACACGTACCAAGTTTCGTAAAGATATCTTAATTTTTACTCGAGTTATCGTGTGCACAGACGGACGGACAGAGAGTCACCGCTTAATCGATTTCTCTTTTCATCCTGATCATTTATGTATACATTTGTCTATATCTATCTCGATTCGTTTTGCCTGTTACAAACAACCGTTATGTGAACAAAGTTATAATACCCTTGTGCACAAGTGCACTCGGGTATAAAAACAACAGAGACGACGAAACGATACTATAGCGTCACATATGTGCCTAAATTACGCGAAACATTTAACCACAAGTAGTATACAGACAACGAAAGCACAACGCTAGCTTATAAATCAAACTGCACATTAGCATCAATATTTACCAAAACAAAAACAATAGTAGAGCCACACCAACAAAACAACGTAGTGTACGAAATTGCATGCAAGGGAAACGAGAACGAAGTTTGCAATAAAATATACATTGGAACCATGATGCAATAATACAAGGTGGTATCAGTTGTGACAGCTCGATTTGACACTGCCTTAGCTCAGTAGAATGAGAAGAAAAACGGGAAGAAATGAATCCCCATATGGGGGAAAAATATAAAATTTCACATTTTCTCCTAAACAAAATTTGCTTTTTTATAGTATATTCGTTATGAAATGAAATAAAATAAGATAAAATACCTTTTTAAGAAAACAAAGTGTGTATACTGAAGAAACATTAAAAACATTCCACTATATTAATGGGCAAAGAATAGTTAAAGAAGGAACACTGTTTCACGTAAGGCAGTCAATATGGCGGAATTAGAGCGAGAAGTTGCCAACTGATAACACCTTGCATTATTGCATCATGCATTGGAACCAAGAATGATAGAATACAAGATTGCGCCGTCCTGGCCGTTGACATTTGTGTACCACAAGTAAACAAAGAATAGAGCGAAAAGAAGAACGAGTTGAAACTGCCAAAACAGTTCACTTTACAGCGAAGAACGTGCTTTAATTTTGCTAAATGCGAAAATATTGCATTTTCACATAATAGAGGTGGGTAATGGCACGATTTATTGTGTGTTGACACAGTGGCACAGGCACACTATGAAGTGTTAACACACTCTGTTGGCACAATTGTGTTATTGCGGCTTATCGAAAGTCGATCAAGAAACTCCATCACTTATTGCTCAAATTTGCTGTTTACTTGTTTTGTTTGCGTTTGGCGGAGGTAATTCCAAGCATTTATAAAAAGTTTGCTGTTGAATTGGGCAAAATTTGGTATACGAGTAAGTGTGTTTATTAAATTAAAATATGCGATTGATCATAATTATTATGTACCATAATTCATTTTTACTTAGAAAATGTCAAAAAAGAAAAGCGATGTATGGCTTCACTTTTCAGCCGAGAAAGAGGTTAAAGTTAAGTGCCTCTTGTGCGCCCAGGTGCTCTCCGTGGGGAATAAGTCGACCTTCAGTCTATTGCGACATTTAAGCACCAAACATCCAACGCAAACCATAAGGAGGCAAGATCCCGCAGCAATAGTTAGCGACAACAACAACAATTGCGTTAGTACAGAAGAAACTGCAGAGGCGGCCATGCCAGCTTCGTGTGTTCAACCACGTCCATCCATAGCGCAGTATTTTAGCAAACCAATTTCCGCTAAAAAGAAGCATGAAATCGATCACCAATTGGTCACGATGATTGTGAGGGAATACCACCCATTTTCGGTTGTGGAGGATGCAGAGTTCAAAAAATTGGTATTCATGCTGAATCCATCGTACAAACTTCCAACGCGGAAAACAATATCCTCAACATTAGTTCCAGCAACTTACAGTGAAACCGTCGAAATAGTAAAACAGCGTTTGGGTAGAGCATATGCAGTGTGTTTGACGGTAGATGGGTGGACATCTCGTGCGCAAGATAGCTTTATTAGCGTTACTGCACACTATATAGTTGAAGATAACAAGTGCTCTTTTCTGGCTTCCGATTTGTTAAGCTGCGTTTCGTATACAGAGCGGCATACTAGTGACAACATAACAAAGAAACTGACGGAGATTTTGCAAGAATGGGATTTAGGCCATAAAATCACAGTAATTGCTACAGATAACGCGGCAAATATGAAGGCGTCGGTGCGAGGAGGTGGGTGGAGGCATTGGGGCTGTTTTGCGCATAGCTTAAATTTGGTAGCACAGTCAGGTTTGAAAGAAATTCAACCGGCTTTGGACAAAGTAAAGGCAATAGTGAGGCTTTTTAAAAAAATTTCGTATGCGCATTCACAGCTTAATGCCACGGCAAAAGGAATGGAACTGCCCGTTTGCAAATTAATCAACGACGTTCCAACCCGTTGGAATTCAACCTACGAGATGCTGAAGCGTATTTTGCTAATCAAAGATGCCGTGATCTCTACTGTAGCTGTTGTTAAGTCGTCTGCATTGGTGAGAGATGAAGGACTGTGTAGTATAGATTTATTAAGTAATGAAGAATGGTTAGTTGCGCAACAAACCATGGATGTTATGGAGATGTTCGAAATTGTGACTACTACAATTAGCGGAGAAAAGTATGTTAGCGCTTCGACAGTAATTTTATATGTTAAACAATTAGATAAACACTTAAGGACTTTAAACACCAACGAACTTACACCATTTGCACAAAAATTAGTGAAAAAACTACTAAATGAATTAAGTTTTCGATTCAGAGACTTGGAACAAAATGAGCTCATAGCTCAAGCGACGATCCTTGACCCGCGTTTTAAAAAATTTGGATTTATAAGCGAGCTTAGTTATAATACAGTTGTGAAAAGACTATATTCTAAAGTAGGAAATACCACTATCCAAAACAAAGAAAATGAAGGAGATTTAAGTGCAGGCATTGAAGACCGTGCTCAGAATAGCTCGTCGGAAAGTCACCGGGAAGGTTTACTGTGGAAGGATTTCGATGCTGAGGTTCACATGTATACGCGTCCACAAGACCAATTAGCTTCTGCTATAGTAGAACTTGACAAATATTTGGCTGAGCCTATTTTGCCAAGGAAAAACGCGCAGGGAAAGAATAACGACCCTTTGTTCTGGTGGAGCCAAAGGAAGCATATTTATTTATCCAAGGCTATATCGCATAATGAAATCGCGGTTATGCATTTCAGCCACTTCAGTACCATGTGAACGCATTTTTTCACATGCAGGACAAATTGTAAGCGAAAAAAGAGAAAGACTAGACTGCGAAAAAATATCGCAACTTATTTTTTTAAATTATAAGCTAGGACATAATGATTTTTAAGAAAAAAGTATACTTTTGAATCGTATATTTAACTATATTTAAATTTTTTTTACAAATGATGGCAATTCATTGCTTTTGAGTTACAAATTACTTAAGATATATGAATATGTTTTAACTAGTCGTTATAAAAGCCAAGCGCCATATGATCTTTAAAAAAAAGTGATTTACTCAGTATTATCATAAAAAACTAAGTTTTTTATATAAAACTATATAAACCAATTGTAATAATCTACAACTGACCTCCATTTTTATTGTTTTTTCTTTACTTTTAATTAGTATTTACGATCTCGATAAATATGTGATTTACCTAGTAAAATAAAAAACCAAGTATTGAATTCAATAAACACGGTATCTTTACTGATTGTAATAATCTACAATCGAATAATATGTTTGTTGTCTTTACTTTAGTTTTATTAATATAGAACATTACTTCGAAAACATAAAATGTCTTTGTTAAATAAATCTCAGCGTGGTTGCGCATATTGGACATTAATATCTTATGCTTTAAAAACAAAAGGGACTGATACTTTGCATTGATGCGTTTTTTGTTAACCGATTAGGGTTTTCACAAATTTAGCAGCATATAACACGAAATTATAACTGTGAATACCCAAGATATGTTAGTGGCCATATGTATACGTAACACAATTGTGTTGGTGAATTTTGCTAAAGTTATGGATGTATTTGGTTGGTGCACGGTTCATGCAGTAGCGTACAGAGGTGCTGATGAGTACAAGAAACACACAAGCACAGTGTGCTATGTGTTCCAAAAAACACACTGGCCAGTATGTGCTTTAGTCGAGTGTGTCGAGTGTGTTACTGCGCTATAGTTTAATCAAATGGTGTGCCAGAGCGTGCGGCACATCGAAGAGTGTTAGCACAGTAGCACAGCACTGTGGTGTGTTACACATCACTATCACATAATCTATTAGAGAATAGTGAACGTTTTAGTGCACTCGATTGCTTTGCAATCAAAGCTGCTGCAACAAACGTTTTAGTGCACTCCATTGCTTTGCATATAAGGCTGATGCAGCAAACTGCGGCAGCATCTCAGCGGGATTGATTAGTGAACTTACTAAAGGAGGATGCTTGGAGCAGAAGCGAAGTCATTGTGATGCAATGCTATCAATATAATAATAAAGATACATTTCGAGAACGGCTTTACCGTGCCCTATGTACACAAAATGCACCGATTCGTCGCAGCGCTACACTTGTATCTACGCATCTCGCATCTTGACGGCTGTCGGAATTTAACACACGGCACTTCATTTTATTAGTTTTTACGCAGTCTTCAACTCAAAAATCACTTACAAATTGCAAATTAACACCATTTAAACTGATTTTTCACTTATCATTAAAATTCTCTTTGTCGCTGATTTGTAAACAGAGGTTTATTTACAAGTTACCACAACTGTCAAAATCGGCAAAACCAAAGTAGCGGTACCACTGACGGTGCCACCTTTGTTCGCTGCACCGTGCATCGGAACCACGAAAAGGGCGTTAGGAGTTCGCGTAAATGAGCACGAAGCATGATGCAATAATACAAGGTGGTATCAGTTGTGACAGCTCAAGTTGACACTGCCTTAGCTCAGTAGAATAAGAAGAAAAACGGGAAGAAATGAATCCCCATTTGGGGGAAAAATATAAAATTGCATATTTTCTTCTAAACAAAATTTGCTTTTTTATAGTATATTCGCAATGAAATGAAATAAAATAAGATATAATACCTTTTTGAGAAAATAAAATGTGTATACTGAGAAAAAATTAAAAAAAATCAACCATATTATTAGGCAAAGAATTGTTAAAGAAGTTAACACTGTTAAACCTAAGGCAGTCAATATGGCGGAATTAGGGCGAGAAGTTGCCAACCGATAACACCTTGTATTATTGCATCATAAGCACGAAGCAGACATCCATAAGAACAAGAACAACACTGCGTTAGCGCAACACATATTGACAAGTGGACACACAGCTGATCTAGGCAAAATAAAGATATTAGACAAGGAAAAAAGAGAAAAAACAAGATTAACGCTGGAAGGCCTGCGAATCTTACAAAGTAGGGATAAAGCAATAAACAAAAAAGAAGACAAAGATGAAATCGCGGCTGCTTACCTATTATGTTTGTAACAGGCAATCGGTATGAGGAGTGTACCACACAAGGATGATATCAAACCAACTAGCTCTAAGTTTAGTGTGTCCAGATAAATGTATCGTCATTATAGTTAATAAGTGTTTATATAAATGAGTAGTCCACTTGCAAACAGCGTTATGTGATTTTATAATAGTAAGCCATAAATTAAAAAAAAACGTTTACAACAACAAGTAAAATCCAAATTGTATCCTTTGGTTTATTATCCGAAATTTGGATAAATAAGAGCCTAATAACAATAAAAAACAAAATCGCAGTATGGTAGTTTTTGCAAATTTTATATATAAAAAATTAATATAGCGGGTTTTGAAACAGTAACTTTAGCTAGATTTTTTTAGCTTTTCGCGTTCTCTCTACCATGAAGATTGGTCTACTTCTTTTTTACGACGTCTTCCGCTAGGCACCGAAACTACCATGTTTTTTTGTAGTTTTCTAAATTCATCAAAAGATGGACACTTTTGAGCTTGTATATATACGTACAATAAATATTATAGCGACTTTTGAAAGTGTATATATACATACAGTAAGTATTATAGCGACTTTTGCTAGAGTAGCTAACATTTGATGCTATTTTTTTCAGAATATATAAGGATTTTGCACTGTATTGTTAGTGGACATGAAACTAGTTTAAATACTGGTACGTTAACCATCAAAAACTAAAAATCGAAAAAAATTTACATAGAGCACTTTGCAAGTGGACTACTCAAATGTATGTAAGTTTCAAAATTGTCAAACACTGTGATTTTTGTTATTGTTTGTAAAATGTTAACATCCAATGTGCATATTTTAATGTTTTGTATATTTTTCTTGTTTCTTTTGTTGATGTTTTTTATAAAGAAAGCGCCCCTGAGGAAGCTAAAAAAGTTAGCGAAACGTCGGGCTGCAATGTGTAGAAAGTTTTTTCTTGCACTCAACCACATTAGCCTAGAGTCCAAAAAGTTTAAAAAGAATTTAATAAACCATCCTAAATCATTTTATGGTTTCGTAAATTCAAAACGTAAGGCACATGGATTTCCGTCTGCTATGCACTATCGCGACAGCCAACTCACTGCCAACATGTTTGCTCAGTTCTTTAGGTCCAATTATTCGGTAGACTCCTCTACGAGTGGAGACTATCCGTATGAACTTGGTACGATTAATTCAGCTTTTATTCCACTAATTTCTTCCGATGAAGTGTTACACTATTTAAAAACCTTAAAAGCGTCATTTAGGCCTGGACCTGATCATATTCCGAACTGTTTTCTTAAAAACTGCGCTGATAATATCTGTGAGCCTTTAAGAACTCTATTCAACTTGTCACTAAAACATGGCGTTTTTCCATCAGCTTGGAAGGAATCTTTCATAATACCACTTCACAAAAACGGTAGCAGGTCCTGTATAGAAAACTATCGAGGCATAGCGAAGCTCTCCGCTATCCCCAAATTATTCGAAGCAATTATTGTTAATCAGCTGACATATTCTATATCTTCTTAAATTTCACAATCTCAACACGGATTTTCTAAAGGAAAATCTATTATCACTAATTTATTGGAGTTCACAACTTATGTCCCAAACGGTTTTAGAGGAAATGCTCATACCGACGTAATATGCACCGATGACAGTAAAGCTTTTGATGAAGTATGTCACTCGTTACTCATCTGTGAACTCGACCTAATCGGCTTTCAGTCAAGTCTTCTTCAATGGATCTCTTCGTACCTCTCTGATAGAACACAAAGAGTTATTTAAAAAATTGTTCTTCCAACATTGTTAAAGTTTCTTCAGGAGTTTTCGTGGTCCGATTCTGTTCCTGATATTCATTAATGATATTTCTTCTATAATAAAATATTCTAAAATTTTAATGTATGCTGATGATGTGAAACATTTTAAAACATTGTCCTCTATCGAAGAAAGGTCTTTGTTACAAGCGGATCTGAGCAACGTGGTTAGTTGGTGTAATGCAAATTATATGCCACATAACTTTAAAAAAATGTAAAGTTATGTGTTTCTCTCGAAGGGCAGTTCAACCAGCTGTTGATTCTATTTCAAATTATAATATGGAGCAGGTATCCAATTTCGTCGATCTTGGTATCACAATGGATTTCAAACTCAATTTCAAACTTCATATTAATATTACAGTCAATAAAGCCAAAGGCATTTTTGCATTTGTAAAGCGATGGTCAAAAGAGTTCAAAGATCCTTTCGTTACAAAAGCTCTTTTTACCACTTTAGTTAGACCTATACTAGAATACGGGTCTATTGTTTGGAATCCCCGGTACCAAGTTCATTCAGATAGGATTGAATCAATTCAAAAACAATTCTTGCTTTTTGCATTGCGTGATTTTAACTGGGATTCATACTACAATCTCCCCCCTTACACTAGTCGTCTAAAGCTTATAAATTTGCCTACACTCGCAAGTCGTAGAGAAATTCTAGGTATAATATTTATCGTAAAATTAATGACAGGCTTGATTAATAGCCCGGGTCTTCTGGCTAAGGTAAATTTTAATGTTCCCTCTCGAGTGTCAAGACACTTTCGACCTCTATTTTTGAAGCCATGCAAAACTAATTTTGAACTACACGAATCATTCCGTGGTTTGTGTCAAGATTTTAACTCTCATTCCAGCACGTTTGACATATCTGACTCGATTTGTGCTATAAAGAAAACTATCATTTCCACTCTCAATAATTGAAATACTATCTTTAGCATATCCAATCAGCTGATGAATTTGATTCTGTAGCTGAATAGTTTTAGATCCT